AGAGCGCCGTGAGCAGACATGCGCAGACAATGCCGCCGAAACCAAAGTGTGATGGCATTTTTGTTTTTTTTTTTGCGAGCCAACGTTATTTGCTTATTGTTATTGTGGAGTTTGTGTGAAGTTATGGGTTTTGACGATGGCGGCGCTAGTGTGGCTCTTGAAGTGATTGCGCTTGTGAGCGTTGGCGGTGTCAAACGCGCAAAAGGCAAATGGTGATTTTATGTCGGCAAAAACAATGAAAAGTAACGAACAGAAAGCGCAATTTAGAAACAAAATTTCAAAGCAAAATTTCGTAGCAAATTAATTAGTAGATAAAGTGCTTAAAATTTCAATTCTTACCTATGTATATATTTTTTTGATTATTTTTCCTTTATTCATTGCTCGCTCTCTGCGCTGTTGGCTTGACTTTTTAGCTACACAGCAACAACATTGTTGAATACCTATTTTGGCAGCAGCATACGGTGAGTCCGTTACAAAAATTACGATGGTAGCTTATCGCCAGCGACCTCAAGCTGCCTGTCGCACGCGCTAGCTAGCGGAGTGCGCGTCCCTAACCCCTAACGTAAACTGGCTGACATTCGTCAGTCACATTGCTATTTTGGCGTTTTTACCGCAAACACCCTCATCATTGTGTCAGTGTAAATGCCCTCTCGTTATACTACAAATATGCACACATATGTGTGTGTGTCTTTGTATGCATGCCTATGACCCCTCATGTGTAACTGAAGGCGCGCTTTTTCCACCAACCAGTTGCCCCGATAAGGCAATATAAAATTGTAATTGCAGGCACACTTCACATAGCCGAGTGATAAAACAAAAATCGCTCTAGCGCAACATCTTCCTACAAAGGGTGCCAACACACACCTATACATATTCATCGGTGCTCATGCATGTGCGGCATGTATGACAGGGAAAATGCCAAGTAGCAATAGGGAAAGTGTGCCAAGGAAGCGTGCCTGGCACCCGCCTATCTTTTATTTCACATAGTCAAACGCTGCCCTCTGCAAGTAGTTCGCCTTTTCTTTAGCCATTGAGACCCGTATGTCTATACGGCTATAAGAAAACTACTTACAGCCGCCGTGCTAAGACTCACTTCCTTCACAACACATTCATAGAAATTAACATTCTGCCACATGTTCGTGAAAAATTGGCGCGAAAATGTCACGGAAGTGCCACATATCCTTTCCTCAACGTGGACTATTTCAGCTTTTACCACTTCAGCGCCGTCTTACTACCAAAAATACGTTACAAGTTATTCAAATGCGCGCTACCAGCATAATTTTTGTCTACTATATGCAAGATCATTAGAATTTTCCCTTTAATTGTACGTTTACCTATAACTGCGTTAGTTTTATCGCTGACTGTTCGAATGAAACAGGTGGAGCAGGTGTCTTCCGTTCTGCGCCTCTTTACATTGGCGCTCATTAGAATAATTTATTTTCAATTTGTGTAAAGTTTAATGGACTCAATTGGAATGACAAAGTGAGAAATAATAGCAAAGCGCAGTGCTGCTCTTCAAAATAAAAACAAAAAACCGTCCGATAAAATCTTAAAAAACTAGTTAAAATTATCAGATCATTTCTTTCAGCAGCCTCTCTTAAATAGCTTTAGACACCAGCCCCTTGTGGTAACTAAAACTCCTATAAAAGAGATCATAAGACACTCACAGACATTCGAGCCTCTCACATATTTATTGAGACGGCTAATTCCAGTTACGGTCTTGTCTACTTATTTTCACCCAAGGTAAGCCTGCCAGATGATTCCACCTCGGTTTTGCCAAGTCTGGAGAATGAAGGCGGAAATAACTGGATGTTTCTAAACAACTTTGATAGCTTTCACGAGGCTTTCGTTGAATGTTTCCATACAACTCACGCAGCTTTCACAAGGCTTTGAGCCTATCACAAATTTATTGAAACGGCAAATATCAGTTTCCTGACCTTGCCTCCTCATTTTCACCTATGGTAAGGCAGCCCGATCATTCAACCTCGGAATTGCAAAGACTGGAGAATGGAGGCGAAAATGGCAGGATGTTTCCATACAACTTGATTTCGACAAAATTGTTAAACTTTACCGCACAATTGTCTATTGTACAAAATAAGAACGTCTACGATTGCAGCAAATGAACTTTGCTAAGGACATCTGTAAGGGAGCTTAACGTGTACACTTGGTAATCCTCTACAAATAATTATTAATTAGCGAGGAAAAATTTATACTGGCCCGCTGTCACGCCATTAATGGACCTCTTAGTCCTTAGTAAGGCCCGTCTATCGGTTTAAACTTAAGTATATATTATATCCAGGTCGTCGCCGTTTTTTTCGAACTTTAAGAGCAACTTGTTGACTAATTTTGATACTTCAACTAGCCAATTGAACTACGAAAGTCCTAGATATCTAAAACGAGTTCCGAAAAGGCTGAACAAAACCATAGGATGTATTACAGCGGCTCTCTCATGTTTACTTCCCAGCATTTTCTGTATATATCGTAGTTACTAATGCCCATCCGACTCCCAATAATGCCTATAAGTTGTGACCTGTCATTTGGCCAACAACTGCCCTGCAGTCCTTTCGGTATCTTGTGAGTAAAAAGCATTCGTGTTTTTCTTGGGTTCTTGTACTTTATCTTGGCGATCGTTTCTTTGATATCGGTTTTAGCGACTTACCTGAAGAAAAACCGGGCGTTATACTTGTATGATGCTCGCTCGGTAATATTCGTTATAATCGAGCAGTTCTTTGGGAATTATAGGAACCAATACACACATTAGTATCTTAAATTAAGGAAGACCGTATGAAATATATGGATAACTGATCAGCGATCAAGCTTAGCCGATTTAGCCGTTTCCGCGTGTACGTCCATTAGTCTATATATGTATATGTGAAGTAGACTTTCAGTGTTTGTGTTTTTTCTTCGATTTTTTCAAATTTCGGGGCAATACAACACAGGTAAATCAGTATAGGCTTTTTTCGGTGTACAACCTTACAAGATGAAATTTACGCAAGAACTGCAGCCGATTGATCACCGGAATCGTCATATAATATGTTCGTAAATCGGGCTGAGCAACAATTAGAAAATGATACGAAATTTTCATCGAAAAATCATATTCAGCGATTAGGCTCATTTCTGACTAAATGGCTTCATCAATATGCAAAATATGCATTACCTCACGGAATAACCCAGTCAATGGGCCGCCGCGATCGTGCTATTTTCCGGCTAAGTTAAGACTATGGTCTATGCCAAGAAGCAAAAGAAAAACTTCCATACATAATATCATTAAAAAACCCGTTACATACATATGTATCTCTAAAATATCAAATTTTCCAAATAATCAATAAAAAAAATCAAATTTGACTTCTAGTCATTACAGGAAACGAATGATCCCATGAGCTGGATCAACTACAAATTGTTTGGCTTAGTCAGCAACAAATGCAAAGGAGTCGCAGCAAACACAACCGCACACTTCTTACGAGGAAATTCGCGGAAATCTACACCCAAGCGTACAACGATGCCACCATAATGGCGGCACAGAGGGTGAGTACACACGCTTGCTGCCTTTTTAAAAGCGACAAACGAACGTTTACATCTACGAAGGCGCGCAACAGCCGTCAGAAACAGTTGTTGCAGCAGCGCAAATAAAAAACCCAAGAATTGTTGCAGCAACAACAAAGAAAACGGTACATGTAGTGGCAACTCACTGCAACGGCAGCGCAGGCAATGCGCCGCCAATCCGCGAGCATACACCAATTAGTAGTGGTAAGCGCGTGCTGGCTATAAAATCAGCAATAACAACAACAATGTTTACATGTCAGCGCAACAAGAACAACGTCAGATAACTGTGCGTGCTGTGACCCTTGCGGCAGGACAGGACTGTAAGGCAACAACAAACAGCGCAATAAGGCAGCTCCAAGCCAAATTAGAGCGCAAATGAGATGAAAAGGTGAAAACGTTAACTGCGCCGACGCCAGCAGATAACAGACGGCGTTTCCAACAACAACATTTACATGGACGTACGAGTACAAATTACGGTTGCGCAGCCCTTATAGGTGAAATGTGCCGCTGCGTGCCGTTTTGATTCAATGTGCGGCTTTATAGGTGACCTCATATTAGGCACATATGTATGTATAAATATATATATTTCTGTAACATTAACAGCATGTTTGTTTTTGTTGTTGCTTTGTCGTGTGCTGCAATTTGCTTTAGTAGGATTTTTTAAGCTTGAAAATCAACCACTTCAACGCCATCAAGTCACCACTAAGAGCGCAGCGCATTTTATGCTCCACACCACTACACTTACGCAGACACACAAATACACATGCGCGCAAGTACACAGGTTAGCAAATAACTTTACGGCCATCCCTACAGTGTTAGCCAGCAACCACCACCGTCGCTGACTGATGTGTGTGTATGTCTGATATACACAAGCAACAACAAGCACCACAGCCACCAACTGGCGTACAAACGCCGTCAAAGAGCCAACCAGCTAACAAGCGCTCTTACCAATACCAATGCAACTCTCAGCCAACTTGAAAACAGTCTCAGTCAATTCGGTGACGGGCTATGCGATTGGGCTCTGGGTCTGCTCGTAGGCAGCCAACGAGTGAAGATTCAGTCAGGTGCCAAGCACCGTGCAACACGGACGTGTGTTCAAGTGGTTAACTGAATAATAAATAAATGACAATACGGCAAAAGTTTGTACAAAGTGCATGTCAAATAGTATTGTGTAAAAGTGCTTGCTCAATTAAACCGTTAAGTCGCAATTCGTGCAGATGCGCCGTGTGAAAATAGCAGCGAAATCAAAGACTGCTGCAACAGCTAAATACATACAAGTGATTTAAGCGAGAAAAAAATCATTAAAAAAAATATAATAAAAAAAGTATAATTAAACAAATATTTTAATTGAAAAAAAAATATAATTAAAAAAAGTTATAATTAAAAAGTTATAATTGAAAAATAATAATTTAAAAAAATATTAATAAATAAATTTCAAAAAATAACTGTTCTTGTTCTCGGAAATATTTTCATTAAAATTGTGTTGAATAATTAACGCGAATTTTCGACACACCACAAAAGCTGCGCAAACAAACGTTTGAGCAATCAGTAGCGCATAAAAATAAATTTCAGATTTCGTTTAAAAATAAATTAGAGATTTCGCACAAAGTTTTCGTAAAAAATTATTAAAAAATATAGACAACATGAATCACCTGTCGCCACCGCTAACGCCGCATTCACAAAATCCAGCACAATCGCCTTCGCTGGCCGCCTTTGCCAATTCGGCGCTGGATGTGAATCTCGGCCCTACGAAGAGCTGGCTGCAAAATGCATCGGCATTTAATTCCGTTATCGCGTCGGCGCAGAAATTAAATAGTAAGTCATGATGAAAGATGAAACCCCTTTATTTATATAAAATAAAATGGAGGAAAAATTAAAGCCAAAAAAAATTTATGCTGAGAAATTTGCTTGAAAAAAGGATTTATCTAAACTAAAATTAAGGACAAAAATGAAAATGGGGGCATTTTTTTGCTTAAATTTTAAATTTATTTTTTAAGTTTCGAGAATTTTTTTTTTTAATTTTTTGAGGAATTTGTCTGAAAAACTCTTTTATATGAACTGAGATTGAGGAAAAGAAGAAAGATACATATAAAAAAATTACATTGAACAAATTTGTTTAAAAAAACATTCATTTAAACTAAAATTGTGGAAATTTTTTTAGAAATTTTTTGTGAAATTTTTTGTGAAATTTTTTTAAACCTCCTTTTTATATAATCCAAAATATTTAAAAATAATAAAAATGAGTTTTTTTTTTAATTTTTGGAAAAAGTTTGAGAAATTTGCTTGAAACCCCTTTTTACATAAAATAAAATTGTGGAAAAAATTTAAGTTTTTCTCAAATATGTTTTTTGAGAACTGTTTATGGTAAAATTAGTAAAATCTTATTCATTACCAGAACCATGATCATATATAATTTTAACTACCAACTTTTAAGTTATTCATTATTCAAAATTTGGTTTATAATTGAGATTTTGGTAGTTTGCGCAACTCTGACTTTTTTAATATTTTTAAAATCAAAATTATTATTATAAAAACCATGAACAGTTATTTGGATTGAGTTTTTCAAAATTTCTAAATAATTTAACAATTTTGAAAAAGAAAAAAATTAATTCGAAATTCTAATTCATTAACAACAACCACAGTTGTAGTTCTATTTTTTTAATTACTTATGTTATGTTCTTTACTTTAATTAAAAATTTTATTTTAATTTTAATTTTAATATTATATATTTTATATTCGCCAATCGAATAAATAATTATTTGCTTAAACAAATTTTATTTCATTTCTACCACCCACAGATCTTCCCTTTCCTTACAATTCGCTCTTCTACTCCAGCGTATTATGGCCACAATTTCTACTCTCCTCCACCACAACAGCGCTTGGCACGCCCACCACACCAACCACGCCCCACTCACCCACATCGTTCATAAACAATCGCGACTATTCGCTCACACCCGAAAAGGATCAGGAGAACGCACAGCTGCCGCAACAGCCAGATGCCGCCAGCCACAGTGAGGATATGCCGCTAAATCTGTCGCTGAAACAAGCAACTTGCCTGAAACAGTTGACGCGCTACCAACACACCGCACAAAAGGACGAAAGCAGCGGTGAATCTGAGCTAAACGCTTGCACGCCTGTAAGCGTCGACATTGTCAGCACGCCGCCGCCACTGCGCGCTGCCAATCTCAAAGTCAACGTCACCGCCAATAGCGAACAAACCACGCTCAACAAAGTGGAGCCGCGTTCACCGACGAAACGGCGCTCGCACGGCACGATCATCTGGTCGCCGGCGAGTATGTGCGAGCAACCGGAAACTCGCGACTGCGCAGCCGCCAATGCGGATTACAGCGGCGCATATGCCATCGATCCGATTGTGCGTAAATTTAAGTATGAACGCCGTGCCAGCTATCCGCGTCGCCTGAACGGTGATGGCGCACTGCAATCGCCACTCTCCTCCACCGCCGCACTGGCTACACAATTTAATGCGGCCGCCGTGGCCGCGGCTGCACGCGCACAGGAACTGAAGGCGGCCAATTTGGAGATGGAAGTCGCACAACAGCAAATCTATGCGCATCGCAACGCCTTCATGGCCGGCCTGGCGACGGGCAACAATTTCGAAATGCTGCAAGCGCATCTCAAAGAGCTGCAGAGTCGCGCCGATGTTTTTGTGCAGAATAACAATAACAATGAGTTGGCAATGCGTAGTCGGAATGTCAGTCGACTGGACAGACGTGGTAGCTACGATAGCCAGGATGACGGTATGGAGCACATGAAAACGGAAGAAGATGCGGATATGACAGAGGAAGCGAGCCGTTACTCGCCAAATAATTCGGCTATAATGCATGAGCAGCAGCAGCAACAACAGTTGCAACATTATGTTGCACAACAACAGCAACAGCATCCGGACTCGACCGCGATCATTAGCGCAGCAGATGTTCATCAACGCTCCTACAGTTGCAGCAGTGAGGGTGAGAGCGAGAAGCGGGGGACGCGCAACTTTCAGGTAAGGAGTTTTTGGCAAGAAATCTTGGTTTAAGGTAACGAGGTGTTTAAAATTAGTTAATAGGAAATGAAAAATGAGAAATTGATTGGCAGTATGTGTGGAAGTGCGCGAGTTTGTTGAAAGAACGTTGATTAATGTGGTCAGCTGCGCGAGGCGTGCGTAAAATCCAACTACTATAGTAAGAATAGGCGCGTTCAGTAGGAAGTATAGGCTATTGCAATGCCTGAGAACTAGCCGAAATCTAAGCGAAGTATAGTATACAGGTACTTTTGCAACACCCTTCAGTTTTATGTTGTCGAGTTTGACTGCTAAATTGTTATTGTTTTTGAAGTCTTCTCAAAAATGACAAGCAACAAAAGTACCTCGGATAGTCAGTCTTACACTGAATTTAATTAAGTAATTGCGTGATTTTTCTTAAGTTGAAATAGTTAACCCACTTATTTAAGCACGGAAATGCCATACAAAATAGTAAATCATATAACTGAAGGACCTCCAATATTACATGACAAACAAGTAACCCTTGGGATGCCACACGCTTTTATTAAGCTATTCATTATAGTTGCAAAAACAAAAGCGAAACACCAAAAATATTGAAAAATATTGCGCAATTAACACGCATAGCGACACTTAGTTAAAGTACCCGCGCTTGAAGTGCGCAAACCCTTGGGTCACCTGATCGACTTGCACACAAACACACAATGCAATGTGAGGTTACTAGATAGCGCCTATTTATTGCAATCGCCGTTGTATACTCGTTTAATTTGCCTAAAAGGCATCGATTTCGTAATATGCCATGTCCACTTCTATTATTGTTCAATATGCCAATAATGCGACTGGAAACTACACCTTTCCATCCGACACAATTATACAAATATATATATATATGTACATACAAAGGAACCAATTACAGATGCATTGGTGTGCGTAGTGTTTGCCACGATTTGTGTCACGATATTAAACAATTAAACGTGTACAAAAATGATTTTGTCTGCTGTGGAGGGGGCAACAAGGAACAAAGCGCATTTTGCTACCGAAATTTAAGTGCTAGAGGCACTTTTGACAGACATTTCTTACACGCTGGCATACTGATTGTTTCAATCAAATGCAACTACAACCACTCCCCCACCACTGAAAATTAAGTAATTAAATGAAGGGTGTTTCTTTTGGATAAGTGGGTTTCAAGTTGCCCAGAATTTGGCTTTATTAGAAAAATAAGGTTTCTTCATTACGTTCTAAAAATGATTTTTGACCTTTTTGGAAAGCTTATTTCACGCGCTAACACGTATTTGATAGATTATCGTTTCTTTTAAGTCGTGAGTTATAGCGTCGCAAACATGGAGCAAAATAAAGAGAAAAAACGGCATATTATACAGTACTACTACGATAAAGGCAAAAACGCATCTAATGCCGCCAATAAAATTTGTACAGTTTATAGACCCGATACAGTTTCCATTTCCACCGCACAACGATGGTTTCAACGTTTTCGTTCTGGTGTAGAGGTGGTCGAAGATGCGCCACGTTCCGGAAGTCCTGTCGTCGAAAATTTCAATAAAATCGCTGAATCGAAATGTCGAAAGAGACCGGCATAGTAGCAGCCGTAGCATCGCCCAAAAGCTGGGCAGAGTTATCAAAAAAAATTTTATGAACAATTGAAACGTCAATAAAAATACCGCAAAAAATACCGCACGACTTTTTTGACAACCTAATACATAGGTTACGTTAGGTAGGTCCGGCTAGATGGCTGTTGTAGATGTAATCGCACGTGAACTGCTATATGTAGTTCTTCCCACAGTCGTTTAATTTCCCGCCAGTTCGGTGGGATGTCTGAAAGTATGCGTTCCCAAATGTTGAGGTCTTGAATGAAGTGTTGAGTTGTTTCCACCTCATTTTCTTCCATAGAGCGTCTGGCAAGACTCCCAACCTTACAGGGTCTAGCCTTACTTTTGGCTTTTTTAATAGCGCTTGTAGCGATGGTGGCCCAGCTTTGGCCAAGATTCCGCGGAGCCCAACTTTCTAGTAGTAGAATCCAAGGGGATGCGATAGAACCGACTCGATTCCATTCTACCGATATCGGTTCTAGGGTGGATTTCTTTGCTAGCTCATCAGCTTTTCAAGTTCCAGCGATTCTACTCTGGCCTGGCATCCGTACCAGTCTGTCCACTAAGCCAATCTAACAGCCGCGGCTGGAATTCGAGCCATTTTACCTTGAGCCTTGAACCATTTCAAGACTGATTGTGTTCTACTCGAACTGCTAAGTGATCTGCCTACTAATTTAATCTAACTGGCATGAATTCTTGTCAAGAATTTTTCAACATCTTTTCAGCAATAATGCGATCGTAATGCATACACCAATGTGTGACGCGTTTGATTGTCTTTCGGCTTCAATTCTTGAACGAGTTAGATTTTGTARGACCCGAAACACAGTTTCGTTGGAGGATGGGCAATAAAGTCTGAGGCTGCATTATACACTAAAGTAAATTTGGTGCGAAACCGATCCATAATTGCACGTATTACCGCCTCTGTTGAGTGATTATGTCGAGCAAATATTGGAAGGGCGAATCGAACGAACCTTTGGTAACCAATTCGCACCATTTACAAACGTTCTTCCGTACTAAGTCTCTACATTATGAACTGGCAAGCCAAATTGGGATCAAGAAAGACCAACTCCGAAAGCGTATTACCTCATTAAAAAGCACACCTCTAAAAAAACACCCGCTAACTTTTCTCACACACACTCGTTGTGCTTGGTGGGTTGTATTGTCACTATTAAAGCACAGTTCGATGAAAACAGCAATAATCTTCTTCGACGTTTTCGACGCTTATTCAATTACTTTGCGTAATTTCCAACACTTTGCACCCACTACCGTCATTTATTTGCTTTATTACTCTAATTCTTCAATATATTTCATTTGTGTCATTCGCGCGTCCTTCTTCGGTTTGTTGATGTTTTATGATGATCCTTGCAGTGCTTGAGTTTTATGTTAATTTTCAATTTACTTAATTTGTCTGCATTGCGTGTCCGTACAATACACGCGCTGACCCCTCACTTTCACCGCTCATGTCGGCGCTTGGCAAATGTTTGATCGCGCACTTTATTTACCCACTGTCCCCTGGTTGTTTGCGGTGGTAAATTCCTGTCTTAATTATTTATTTGTAGTAATTATGATTAGTAAGTGTTTCGACTTTCGCAGTGTTGAGCATTTAATGAAACGATTTTAGGGTTGGAGGCGCAGCTGGGAAGGGGGTTAGCAAAACACGTTTCCTATACCTTCGTATATGCATGAATTTGTGGGTATTGGAAAGCTTTTGATTGGCACAATCAGAAATTTAGATGACACAGTTTACAATAATGTCAGGTGCCAGGTCGAAGAAATTGCGGTTTGTTTGCGTAACGTCGCTGTATTTCAAATGAATTGTGCTCAGTTGGTAAACATGTGATATCGGGAAACTAAAAAATATATTGCTGAACTTAGTTTTTGTCAATAAGAGCATAATGATTGCATTATTTAGTATAATTATTACTTTAACCTCATTTAATGTGTGGGAACTATAAACGAGCTGAGAGCTAAAGGGAGTGAGAGTGTTTGTGGAAGAAGGCTCAAATTGTATACCCAGAATAAGATATATTAAGTTTACGACGAAGTTTTTAACAGCCAAAAGAAAGCGTCAGAGATTCTATAAAATTTACTTATATATGTATAAATGATCAGCATGATGAGGCTGAGTCGATCCATGAGGCCATATCCGCCTTTGTGTCTACATATACGCGAACAAGTCCCTCAGCTTCAGAGATATCGTTCTGAATGTTTTACACCGTCTTTACTTCTCAAGTAGCTGCCCAATTGTCGGAATCGTCGACATCGGATAACTATAACATAAAGCTGCCATAGAAACGAAACGTTCAAAAACATGTGCTTGTAGGGAAAACTTTTACATTTGTAAAGATATCATCACGAAATTTGGCACAAATTATTATTCAGAGCATCCCTGCAATTTCTGAAGAAATTATTTAGATCTCATCAACTATAGCATATAGCTGTCATACGAACGCAACGACCAAAATTCAGTTATTGTAAGACACGTATTTCATTGGACGAGAATCGTCACGAAATTCGGAGCACATTATTATTTTAAGCATTACAATCTTCGAAGAAATTGTTCAGATCGGACTAATATAGCTTATAGCTGTCATATTAACTGCACAATCGAAATCTAGTCCTTGTGTGGAAAACTTTTTTATTTGACGAGATATGTTCACAACTTTTGGCACAAATTATAACTCAAAACATTGCTATAATCTGCGAGCAAATTGTTCAGATTGGACTACTATAGCATATGACTGTCATACAACCTAAACGATCAAAAAACTTTCCTTGATTCAATAACTTTTTTATTCGAGAAGATATCTTCGCGAATTTTGGCACAGATTACTGTTCAAAGTATTGCTACAATTTGGATTTAAATTATTTAGATCGGACCACTATAGCTTATAGATCCTGTACAAACTGATCAATCAATATTTCAATTTTTCTATTATTTCCTTCATTCAGAGTTCAATTTTCTGTAATTTTCTTAAGTATGCACCTACTTATACATATATAAGGTACATACATACTTTACAGCTGTTTACTCATTAAATTGCTTTAAGATTACTTAAAGCACTCATAATCATTTCACCTACGATTAAGCATAATTGTCAATATGGCACGGCGCACGACCGTTCAGTAACGTTTAGCACGTATGATCGCCTAAATGCCTTACAAAGTGTCAAATTGCAATGACTATGTGATCACACATATATATTTTTTATACTTTAGAATCACCTACTTATATGTATATCATATATTACAAACACATACGTTGCCTGTTGTTTTTGTAGGCATTGCATTCACAATTTTGTTATGTCCATAAGGCTTTTATTGCAACCCGATACGCTTGAAGGGCTTCGTCCTTAGCGCTGACATGCGTTCTTAACGACGCTCACTATCACTTTTTGCTCTTGCTTACGCTTTTACCTTTCTTCATTGCTGACGCTCATTCTCTCTCCCTCTTTTTGTCATGCAAGCAAGGCATTTTAGGTTAACAGCAATTTCGAGTCACAGCAGATGGTCGTGTGGCGTTTAATAAGCGTTTTTTATTGATCATTTCGGCGTCATGACGGTTATAAGGATTTTCATTAAGAAAAAATGTGTTTTTGTGAGTTTATAAGTGTTTTTTTTTTCTTTTTTTATATATTTTTTTTGTTTTTTTTTTTTTTTTTTTTTTTTAAAACTTTTTTTATTTTTTGTTACATCGCTTGCGCGATCAGTGATCAGTGGGTGGCCTGCGCGCAACAAATTCGAAAAAAATATGCCTTGCACGCCACTCAACTGGAAACTCTACCTTATGGCTGGCACACTTTTTTCCAACTTCTTTATATTTGCTAGAATTTTTATAAAATATTTTACCAGCAGCTGAAAATTACTCGAGTGCAGCCTTTACATTTTACTGTATATATGTATCGGCGCTGAGTCAGCGCTTTCTTCAGCTTTGACTCACCTCAACTAATCAAAGGCAACAAAATCTAGTGCCGTACCCCAGTTAGGGGTTTTCTCCAGCTCATTGCCATGCAAAGCGGCATTCGGCTGGCGAATCCAACTTCCGTTTGCGCTTCCTAACTGCGGCCGCGCCCGTGCAAAACAGCTTGAGCGCTGGCAGTGTCAGCTCATAGCAAAGCTGCGCAACAATTGTGGCTAATTAGCCAAACAGTTATATAGCTATGTATATATAGACACATGCACATGCATGTGTATTATTTACGAGTCACACACACACACACACATACATACGCAGATTACAGCAACAAAGACGCGCGATCGTCAATAATAAGGCAAAGTGAAAACACAAAGGCGACACTTGTTTAATAAGCAATCAATAAATGGAAGAGTACGGATTATGGTTTGACACACACATGCTTGGTTTGTCAGCAACATGCGTGCAACAACATTAACAACGGCGATGCTTCATATTTTTGTACCAAAAATAACTGAGCAAACAGTCAGTAGCGAACCTAGGGTCGCCTGCATACATTTTCTTTTTCAAACGCAAATACGCACACACACGCATATATGAATAGACACATACATACTTGTATTTATATCATAGCTATATATGCATGTATCTAGTCTACGTAAATCCCGCTTCAGCGCTCCATAGTAGGCAAACAATCAAACAACACGCGCATTGCAGCGGCTAACTGTCGCAGCAAACACTTGTGTCAAGCTCTCTAGACGAGCGTTGCCAGCCTGCGCGCAGACAGGCAACAACAAAGCTTATGAAATATGTTATTGTTGTGCTGAAACGTCTACTGTTATTTGCAGAATAGTAATTAATCTTTAAGAAAAATGCTTTATGTGTGTATGTGTGATCGGTTGCTTGCTTGACTTTTGACGCCCTAGAACGTCCACGAACCCATCTTTTGGGTTCACGTTGCACGACAAACTGAATCAACATTTGACACTGTGTCTGATTTCATTTCAGTGCACACTACTTTGTGGGGATTTTTTATTTTTATTTTTTTTGAAATTTATCTACTTTTAATGCAAATATTTAGTTGCGTTAATAGAACAAGCAAGAGACTGTGAAAATAGAGGCTTTAAGATTTAAGTAGGGTTATGTGCACAAATAGGTTTGGCTGGTGAGATATTTTGGCAGTAAACAAGCTGTTGTTTTGTTTCATAAATATATATGTATGTTTTCACGTGCGATATTTTTACTCTTATGCAATCAGCGAAAAGGTTTTTTAAATTTTTTAATTTCTTTAAAGGCTTTCAAAAGCTTTTTTTTATTTTATAAAATAAATGAAAAGGTTTCCCGATTACTTTAATTTTTTTAATATAAGTAACATATGTTTCGAAAGTTGTTTTTTTTTTATTTACGAAATTAACGAAACATTTTCGATTTTTTTCATTTTCATAAAGTCTGACAATTTTTTCGAATTCTATTTTGAATATTTTTTTTTTTAGAACACAATCGAAAAGGGTTTCAATTT